GCTGCCTGCTCCTGCAAAGGAAGACAGTGTCATAAACCCTCAGGGCCCGTTCTGGCCTACCCTCTGCAGCAGCTGCACTGGCATCCACTCGGGGGCAGTGGGTTCTGAGTTTAAGGAGCCCTGGTGGCCTAGTGGCTACCCATTGAGCTGCAACCGCAAAGTCAGCAGTTTGAAACCACCAGCCACTCCTCGGGAGAGAGATGCAGCTTCCCAAGACTGTAAAGAGTGCCCGACTTGGAAACCCACAGGGGCAGTTCTACCCTGTCCTGTAGGGTCGCCGTGAGTGTTGTGTGTAAGAGTCCTGAAGGAGCCCTGTGGGTTAAGATCACGTGGTTGGCGGTTCAAACCCACCAGCGCCTCCTCGGGAGAAAGATGAAGCTTCTTGGACAGCTTCAAAAGCCCACAGGGGTGGGCCCCACACTCTGTCCTAGAGGCTTGCTGTGAGTCGGAGCCGACTCGAGGGTGGGACCCAGCAAGCTGCCCCCTTAAAGATACCATCCAGGAAACTGGAGACCCAAAGACTCTGGTGCCCTTAAAATGACAGAGGACCCCAAAGACCAGAGGTGAAGGATGCTTGGCTGGCGGGAGGAAGAGGCTCGAGGCACAGCTGAGCTTTGGGCGGTGGGGAGACCAGGCCCAGCCCATGGCCGTCTCTGAAGCCGAGCTGTTCTGCCATCAGGAGACAGGCTCCTTCCCGGCAGTGTAGACAACCGTGATTCATCCGAGGACACGTGCCACCTGCCACCGCCACTGTCCCTTGGGGGCTATATATAGCTCAGCTCTTGGCACACGCCACCCGGCAGCCCCCTGGGCTCCCTCAGGCTCTGCCCACCCTGGCCAGGTGGCACAGAGGTAGGCACAGAGAAAAAAACAAGTCTGGGTCACCCAGCTAGAGAACGGCGGAGGGAGCCTCAGAGCCAGGTGTCCTGCCCGATGGGTGCTGGGCCTCTCTGCTCCACCCCTCCAGGGTCCGCCATAGTCCTGTAATTCAACACGAGTCCAGGGAAGGTCGTGAAAGAATCCTGGTGCAAAGCAGTTCACAAGGCCGGCGGTTCACATGCACGAGGGGCTCCCAGGAAGGAAGGAGTGGGCTCTGCTGTCACAACATCTCTGGGTGTTGCACCAAGTAAAAGCCACCAGGAGTCTCTCTTCAAACAGACGGGGCTGCCACGGGAACAGAGTCAGCCCCACAAGGCATGACCAGTGACCAGTGACCAGAGGGCACCGAAGGTCCCTGGTAGGGAATCACACCCAGTCTCCCACATGCTTACCACTACACCCAACCCACCCCAGACCCTCAGCTCACAGCAACCCAGAGAGTGGTTCTGAGACTGTCAATCTTTATGGGAGCAGACAGCCTCGTCTTTCTCCCCAGGAAAGTTTGGTGGGTTTGAACCTCTGGTCTTATGGGGAACAGCCCAATGCCAGCCCACAGGAGCATCCAAACTCCTCACAAACATGTGGGGACTCCAGCTGGGACGTTGGCTATTTGGTGCAAGCTGGGAGAAAGCAGAAGGTGGGATGTTAACTGTGCCCCTGCCACCTGTATGTCCCCCTGTGTCCTCTGAGTCTTCCTGTCCCTCTCTGTCCCCCTGTCCCCTGTGTGACCCCCCCTGCCCTCTCTGGTCCC